TCAGTTAAAAAAAATATGCTTTTGCATGTCCCCAAAGGGAGATTCTCGCATTTAGTTCCCTTCTGGGTACAAATTTATCTCTGAAATACAGCTCGCCCACACACACGCACACACTTCCAGAGGTGTCACAGCTATCACTAAGACACACCTATATTAATTACCATTGTGTTGATCTGACAGCTGAGAGCAGGGGTCTGCAGCCTTTAACTTTACAGAAGAAAGATACAAGCAAATCCACATGTGATATGACAGCTTGGAAAAGAAATGAAAAGGATGATCATAAGGTGATATAAAGAGAAAGAAACCACCACCATTGTCGACATACTTGACTAAATGTGGGAAGTCGTGGCCTAATGGTTAGAGAGTCGGACTCGTAGCCTAAAGGTCGCAGCCTAAAGGTCTCGTAGGGATTGTAGGTGGGTGAGGGGGGGGTGAATGTACAGCACTCTCTTCCACCTTCAATACCATGACTGAAGCGCCCTTGAGCAAGGCACCGAACCCCCAACTGCTCCCCGGGTGCCGCAGCAGGAAACAAATGGCTGCCCACTGCTCCGGGTGTGTGTGCACTTTGGATGGGATAAATGCAGAGCACTAATTCCGAGTATGGGTCACCATACTTGGCCACATGTCACGTCACTTAAAATTAGGTTTCTCGTGATCTTTAAATCCTTTTGATCTGAAAGTTTATACTTAACGGCTTAAAATTAGTTCTTTAGAAATATATAATGTGCAATTGTAATTTAAAGATCAAATGTGAGATTATTTTTATTTAATTATTTGATAAATAAGTTATTAAATAAATAAATAACAACAAAAAAGACTATATAGTCACATATTCCCATAATTCCATTTGTTGTTTTATAGTTTTGTTGTAATATGTGTTCAAAACATGAATACTATTATTGTAGAAAGAAAAAGTAGCTATGCGTTAAAACTTTTGACTGATATTATTTATTTAATACTTTACGTCTCTGTATGTGTTTGTGTATGTATACAGAAAGAGACATTGCAATAAAACTCGGGCAAACATAATTCAGCTCAATATTACAATTCACAAACATATCTGTCATACCAGCATAGAGATGTTTATTGAGTGAGTCTGTTATTGGACTCGAGTTTCTATTAGTCTGAGTGACAAATGCAAGAAAGGCTGAGGGAGACATTTATTATTAAACCCCCTGATGACAAACAATCAATATGCAGGTGTTTGCTATTGTCCCAGACACAGGTGAAGCCGTCTACGACAAACTTATTGACTTACATGCGGGTTTTGCTGTGTGATAATCCAGTTACGACCTCCTGCAGTCTGTCAGGTGAAATGAAACGGCGGAGGATGTTTGTACAGACGACGTTAGCGCTGCGACTGATGAAAGGCCAGATTCACAAAACAATGCAAATTTTTAAGTGAAACCACGTACATCACTGGCAGTACAACTTTCAAATTTTTTCTAAATTAAGTTATTATAGCCTAATTCGTTTCGGAACAAAAGCGCCTGTGTTTATGTAAATGAAGCGTAATAGTGAACGCGATTCAAACTGTGTTGAGCGCGAAATTTCTACTGATACTGCAACGGTCGTGATATGATGTCACGCTCTGTGGCGCCCTATTTTAAAACATAAATTCGACGTAATAATAATATTGATAGTAATAATGACTATCAGTAAAAATGACTACTCAGCCCCCCTAAAATTTAGCGATTAGCTCCATAAACTGTACACGAATTCGTGATCGCCTCAGTCCCCTTTAAATTTCATATGAAAACGGCGGCAGACTTCGATCGACTCCTCCCAGTCATCTTTCAGCGCCTTCTTTTTCAATCCGCAGACCGCAGCGTGCAGAGCAAACGGAGGACAAGGTGTGTGTTTAACAATAGATCGTTATAATATCTGCATCTGTGCAGTTCTGTTCTTTGTCATAAATACCGTTTACAAAATATCAATCAGTACCCCATCTACTAAGTAAGTAGCCTATTCGCTGCGTTCACCCCTCATCACACCACAGCTGTTTCCTCCAGTGAAAATGAAGCGCATATGAACGCATACTTTATAAAACGATCATGTTGCCATTTTCATTTGAAAATTTTACTTTCAATGTAATACATATTCCAGTGCATGTGGCAAAAAGGTTTGCATACTTGAGCTAAGGAAAGAGGGTTGTACTAGAAATGCAAACAGTTAGCATACCACCCCTATTAGTCAAACATTTTTTATTATATATATATTATACCCTCATTGGGGGTATAATTTCCCCCCTAAAATGAAAATCCTAGAATTGCCCCTGGGTTATGCCATAAGTAGCCTATCAATCTTCTGTCAGTCACATCTTCACATGATATGAAGAGTTCACTAGCGAAAATTCGTATGCATGAGCTTGAGTTCCCTGTGTCCCACATACGCATGTGTATGAATAGAAATATTAACGGAAGGAAAAAGTGTACTGTGACTGCTCTTTCAAATATGTGCTTAAAAACAATTTTAGTGGTCCTATTCATTGTGGTTTCACGCCTCAGTGTTCAATCATACAGACCATGACCTATAATAAGCTAATGATGACGCATTTAAAGTATGCAGTTTTCATGACAACTGCAAACAAACATTTGCTGACATCAGAGGTCTGTGGGCACGGTTGAAAACAGTTTTAATGAGCAATACTAATGTCCCTGGACATGTACACTAAATAAAGTAAACTAAGTCAAAATTCTCCCTTACTTGTACTTGAACTTCACTGCCTCAAGTAGCCTAGTTGTTTCCTTCAAAGGGCTTTGGCCATTAGGCCTATGCTGCCTGCTAAATACAGTTATATTGTATATGTCTATAAAAATAAGGTAGGCTATACGTCTCCGTATTCTTTATTTTTCTCTTCCTGTTTCTCTATATTTCCTATTTTCTTTATATGATGTCTTTCCTTCCTCCAGGGGAAACTGCTAGCCATTTGAACAAGCAAACCTATACAATATCAGTCTAAATATCCAATCACATCAAGATCACCATCACAAAAAAATGTTTGAGAAAGTGAAACTCATTCTGGTCATTCATGTGTTTTGGACAACAGATTTTATGGTCTATAAAGAATGACTTTAAACATTCTTGTGGTGAAAACAGTGCACAGTGTCACACAGACAGGTGCAAGTTCTTAAGTATGAGGTGTGTGAGAGAAAAACTGAATCTAGGTCATGGTAGTGCATAAAGAGGACCAGTACAACTTGATGTGCCCATCTCTTTAGATTTAGTGACATTTGCTGACATAATTTTATTTTCCTATATAACCTGGTGTATTTATTCTACGTGTCTACCAGTAAATGTTTTTTACAGTATTAATTGTTGTTTTGTTTGTTTGGTCAACAGAAGTACACACAAGTGCATCATGTTGAAAATAAAGTCAAAGGAAACCAGATGCACTGCACTTTCCACTTCCTGCCATTGACCTGTCAATACCATCACAGTTTCCACCCTGCAACTCAGCATCTACCTCACTCTCCTCTGTCTCACATGTACTGACACAAGTATACCACAGTCAATGGTTTTCACAGACTTTTATTGTAAATGGCAAAAGAAACCACAGTATGAAAGTGTCAGAATGAAGTCTGAGAAACATTTCTAAGAAGGCTGAAAGGCATAGCCGACATCTGTACAGCATAAAAGTCTTTACTATAAAACTTTTCACAGTTAGACACAAAGAAAACTTCCGGGCAGGCAGTGTGTGCTACTTTTATACATGTTTGAATTCGTATCATGCATGTCAGTATGACACATCTTCACTTTAATTTAAAAAAGACTAAAAAAACAACACAATTAAAATAAGAATAAAACTATCAACAGAGCTGCTACAAAGAGAGGGATTCATATCTGTTACCGCCATCAAGAGCTCAAAGGGCTTCAGCTGTATCTGAAGATTAAAATCGCTTCTGCTATTTACAAAGATGTTCTTATGAAAGAAGAGAGAGAATGCAAAATGCAATGCAGTGAACAATACATCACGTTCGTCTTTCTTTTCTGGTTGTCATTGGTCTTCACCCCTCCGTAGATCAAAGTAAGACCAGTAAACAGGCACTTGGTACTGTAGAGAGAGAAAGAGGGCATGAATCAAATAGTCATGTCATTTGAAATATGGATGTAATATGGAATAATTTAATCAGAATCCTTGAGAATTTAAAGAGACATGATAAAGAGCAGATTTGACACAGAATGAGGCTCAGAAGTGCATCAGTGAGATCTCGTCGCACTCTCTCACAGTGGAATTGCAGATGTTGCTCAGAAATTGTGCTTTATGACATCATACAGTAACATGGGAAGCAAAACAATCTATTTTTAATTCATTCTAATTCAGAATAAAAACATGTTTTTAAGATCTAGCTGGCTACTTGCATCTACTTGAGACAATGTATTTTATTGGGCCCTGTATTAAAATGCATTAGTGTTGATTTGGGTCAAGGGTCCTTCATAAAGAGTCTAAGTTTTGTAATTTGCAGTATGCAAATGTCTGTATGCATATGTATGAATACCCAAATGACCTTACAACATTACAAAAAAGAACACACTCCAAGATGTTCTTTCAATGTTTATCCACAGATGCACCAATGTCATGGATCAAGGCTGAATCACTGTTCAATATTGATGAATTAATGTTGATATTGCGACATTGTTTCAACATCTTTTTGACACGGGTGAATGAATTTCAGACTGACTTATAAGTATTTTGATAACCTTTTTCTAACCATTTAGCATTAAATGCTATTTCAATGTGTTTTCAATCTTGAAACTACAATTGATATTACTGCAACTATTTCAACATTAAATGTCAGTCATGTGCCGACTAGGACTGAGTGGGATACACAATGCAATGCGACGCACTTCAGTCCAGTGTGACAAATTAACTGTAATAAATATCAGCCATGATACTCAACACAACAGCTAAAAGTGAAGAGTTTTTATTTGTTACAATAAAAATGCTAAATAACCCTATGCATCTCCAAGATGATATAACTGCATAATAACTTAACTAAGAAATTAGTCTTAAGAATTTAAGACCATTTTTCTGTAATGCTGCTTTGGAACAATGTCCACTATGAAAATGACACTGAAATTAAAATGAACTTGACTGAACATGTAACATCACAAGGTCACCAAAAACGAGTTTTTACTAAATAATACACCATACATATTTTGCAGTATGCATGCTAGTATTCCATTCCGAACAGAGCCAACGCCAACATCTGGAGCTGTGGATGTATTTAGAAACCAACCAACACATTCATGAAAATAACTTAGTTGAACAAATATTTCCTGTTACAAACATGTTAGGCCTTATAGATACACTTAGGTTCGGGTCTTATGTTTTTGCATGACTCGACGCATACAATTTTGCCATCTTGTACCAATTATTTCGACTTCTCATGAGGTCAGATTTGACTTACCCACTGGAGGGATCCTCGAGAAGAGCCTGTGCTACCTTCCTCCTCTTCCATGTTCTCATGCTCCTCACCCTCACTGTGTGGCGTCTGGTGAATGACCACTCGCTCTGAGCGAAGAGACAGGGATTTAGGGCTACATCCAAATATCTATGATGACAATTCAAAACCTTTCAAATGTTTCCAACCAGTTTTATATTATTGCAGAATCTCCATTACTGATGGCATTTTTAATCAGAAGTAACAAGTACCAGATATACCTTACAAACCTTTCCAAAAAAGTATTGCACTTTTCTTTTTTTTTTTACTGACACGTAGAACCAAACCACACCTAAGTCTATGCAGTGTGCATGACAACATGTCTATACTGTAAGCGGGCGATGTGACACGACAAAAATATACTGTTCTCATTATAAATCAACAAAGCTGTCTATATACGATAAGCAGCATTGTGTATATACAGAGGTGTTAAAGTCATTGCATGCAAACTACGTCCAGACGACAAAAAACTGTCTACAGAAAAACAATTCCCACTTTTTACCACAAATAAAAAAACACCTTCAAGAGTGTGTGAGAGAGCCTCAGCCAACTGAAATTATGCAAGTAACTCAAGCAATGGTTCTGCATCAGGAACCAGATTTTACATGGGATACTGTAGAAATATATTATGTAAAATTATATATGTAAATAGTGTAACATATTAACATTAAAATTAATATCGACTGCCAACAATGACTGCCAAAGCACCAAAGTCTGATTAGTTATTATTTGCATAGAAAAATAGTTTTTCTCACTTTTCATGACCATTAACAAACATAAAACTATTATTTGTAAGTAAAATAAAATGTTGTGTGTGTGTGTGCGCGTGACGGTACGTGGTTGTACATAGTGCACAACGAAGGAGTAACCAAAATAGACTTTAATTCCACTTTAACACAAAGAACAGGCGTGCAAAATAGCATCAACTTACATGTACCATTAAATCAACATTAATCCAGGACAAAAAACAGACAGAAACTGAAGGCTTATAAAGACAGGGAAACAAAGGAGCAAACAAGATGATTAATCAACACAGGTGAACAGAAAGAACTAATCAGGGGGACTAAGGGAAACTAGGTCAAAGAAGGTAGAACAGAAACGCAGGAAAATCTAAACCAGAACAGAACATAAACGTGACAGTGTGTGTGAGTGTGTGTGTGTATACACACAAAGTAAATATTTATATTATGACTATTTTAAAATATAATATATATTTTTATATAATATAAAAATTATGAATGATTTTTTAAAAGTAGTGTTTTATAATTTGTGTAGTAATTAATTATGATTATTATTATTTAGAACTTTAGAACAATAATAACTGTTACTTAATATTAAAGGTGTTTGAATAAGCTCAACAGTTGCACTTCCTGTGCGAGGGGCCACACCGCTACAAAATCTGACAAGTTTTGACATGAAAGACCTGCTCACACAGCAACTTTGTGACATAGGCTACATTATTTTTCACATTACATGCACTTGCATCATTCACTGTGCTGTTAGTCAGTGTAGTTTTTTTTGTTTTTCTTTTGGAGTGTCTGGATGTTTGTAGCGTGCTGATGTTTAGTCAGCTGCAGAAAATGTACAATTCGTCCGATCCATGAATGAATAATATCACTCTGTCTGTGATTACAGTATTGAACTGGGTATAAGTGGTGTAAAACGCCTCATAATTCTTAATGAACTTTTAATGAGTCTCAGCTTTGCAGGTAAAACATAAGTACTGTTCAACACTGGGGATGATAAAGCAATGCGGTACACATGCATTCAGCACAAACACACCAGTAATGAGTCTCAGTATTGAAGTGTACCTGATTTTTTACAGGAGTTCCTCATCTTGCACACGCTGAAGGCCAAGCAGAGGGTCAGCAGGCCGATGGCAGCAGCCAGAGATAAAGGCAGGGTGAGATCTGATGATGAGTCGAAGGATTTACGGCTTGTAGTCTGAGTAGTTTGAGGCGAGTGAGAAACTTCAGTTGAAGAAATAGAATTAAATTAACAACATTGATAATAGTGGTCTTTTAGTCTTTTTTACTATATGTGACCCTGGAGCACAAAAGCAGTCTTAAGTCGCTGGGGTATATTTGTAGCAATAGCCAAAAAAAACATTGTATGGGTCAAAATGATTGATTTTTCTTTTATGCCAAAAATCTTTAGGATATTAAGAAAAGATCATGTTCCATTAAGATATTTACTAAATTTCCTACTGTAAATATATTAAAGCTTAATTTTTGATTAGTTAATATGCATTGCTAAGAACTTCATTTGGACAACTTTAAAGGCGATTTTCTCAATATTTAGATTTTTTTTGCACCCTCGGTCACATATTGGAATTTGTAGGTAAAATAATATTGTAAAGGAAGAATCTTACCAGTCGTTGTCTTTTCTATTTGACTGTCACTGACAGATAGATCTGTTCCATTACCTTTCGCCTGAATCAGGACTGGTATGTCTTGAGTCACTTTACAAACATAATGACCCGAAGCATTTTTAAGTATGTTTGTGAGGTGGAACGTTGAACAGTTCTGTATTTTATGTTTATAGAGTTCCTGCTTTACATCTGAAAGTTTTGTCTCATTGATGTACCAAATAACTTTAACTTTATGTGCGATTCCATTCCAGCAGCAGGTGATTTGAGCAGAATCTCCCTCTTTCACAGTGATGCTGGATGGACTCTGATTCACGGACAGCTCTTCACTGGAACCTGTGACTGAGAAACAATAACACACAAAGAAACCCATTCAAGTCTGTGGCTTGTTGTTGTTGATGTTTGTAGCCTCTTTTCTGTTAGCTATAAAACCTTTTAAACTTTTACTATAAAACAGGAAAGATAAAAGTAAACTGTAACTTAATATGTAAAAATCTAGATTTATTTGATTAATTTTTTAATTTATTATTTTTCCATGATGCAATCCTGTCCATTATGTAGACTTTTAAAGTTTATCATGCTAAAATGGATTTTAAGACCACTCAAAGAAGAAACTATTTTTTGATTAGATAAAAAAATGCAGATAATGGTGTGAAATCTCTGGTTTAAAAAAGTGGAAAACAAAGTTTTTAAGTAATGTCTTGCATCATTTTTGAAACAAAAATAAACAAAGGTCTTTCTCTTCCATGCTCTTCGTTACAATTAACAAAAATCCTTAAACATATTTCGAAGGAGGTCACATATTTCTTTTTCAACTAGATAAAAATAATTATGTTGTTGTAAAATTTTACATTTCGCATGATATATAGATGATAATATATAAGAATATGACAAGTGCATAAATACTTCATCTAGGTTATACATTGATACACATATGAAAACTCTTGCAGCTCATATCGGTCAAAATGTCCTAACGTGGACTGCGTCTTGTTCACAGGATGTTGTGTTAATAATGCCTACAAATGTTACTGAGTGACTTAACTAGTTTTAAACGTTTAAACTTTAAACGTTTAAACGTTTTACTGTAATGTAAATATACAAATCTTCCACCCTCCTTAGTAGTACTCATAAAAATGTACACCCATTTAAATATCAACATCATATCTTAAAATATGCTATTACTATTAAATATGCTATATAAGTTATTTTGTATCAATCAAAGGCATATAACAAATCAGAAGAAAGTTTGTTTTTCTCCAGATTTATCTATACAGATCTACAAAGAGGCAGCAGTAAATGATACATTTCCATACATTAATTACACAGTGGTCATGCTTTTGAGCAACTCTCCACAAATGTGTTCAAAAAAAATTCTAAATTCTGCTAGATAGTGTCTCCTATGATTGCAGGAAGGCAGAATCATCTCACAGCTCTACAAACAGTTGAATTATTTTATTTTGTACTAATACTGAACAGTATCCTGGAGCATCTGTGCTGGTTTTCCATTCAGGAAGGAGTTTCTTGTGGCACTTACCTCTGAAACAAAGGCATGACATGAGGAGTCCACACAGGAGTCTGGAGGAACACTTCATTTCTGAGCGTCTGCAGAGAATCTGAACTCTGCTTTACTTCCACATCACAACCGTTCACACGCATGAGACACTCGTACTCTCAGATTTTCACCACCTCCCCACGCCACTAATTTGATCACAGCGAAGCCCAGATTAAACCACAACACTGCTCTCACACTCGATTCACCTCGGACACACTGAACACAACCATATACACAATCACACAAAGCACACAATCAAACAGAAAGATTCATGCATGAAAATATTTTATTTCATCTACTTTCAGAATTGAGTGAAAATCCTTGCAAACCATTATGAGTCTGCAAACAAGCTATCATGCAGGAAGTGATATCATAAACCTGAAGAGCACACCCATAACTCCATTTCCTGCGTCTCACAGAGCTGAGACTAAGTCGCCCAGCACAGAAACAGTCCCTTCTTCAACACCAGTCATTAGATGTGTCTTTTCATCAGTGTTCAGAACAGAAATGGTCTTGTTTTCGTTGTCATGCACTGGAGATGTACCTTGTTCAATGCTCACAACTACAGCAGTCGGTTTTTCTTCATCTGTTTCTTCTTCTGTTGCAAAAGTAACTTCAGGATTCTTATTGTTGACCCTCCCTTTCTCCTGTTCTGAAACGTTCTCACCCTGTTTCACCTCTTCAGTTTCATTCCTCCGTGTCTCTCCGGCCTCCAGGTCTTCATCTAGTCCTTCTCCCAACTCTACTAACTCTATAAATAAATAAATATGAAAATCAGTAACTGTATAAATAAATAAATATAAAAATCAGTAAGAACTCACTTACATCTAAGGCTATAAACATTTACGTTAAAGGAACAGTTAACCCAAAAATGAAAATTTGCTGAAAATTTACTCCCATCTACCCCCAGGCCATCCTAGATATGTGATTACATTACATGCTCGCCAACGGATCCTCTGCAGTGAATGGGTGCCGTCAGAATGAGAGTCCAAACAGCTGATAAAAACATCACAATAATCCACAAGTAATCCACACCACTCCAGTCCATCAGTTAACATCTTGTGAAGCGAAAAGCTTTGTGTTTGTAAAAAAACAAATCCATCATTAAGACTTTTTTTTTTTTTACTTGTATCCATAATATTTCTATCTCCAATGAAAAAGTTGTCTGGTCTGAATCAGCAGAGAAATTTGCACAGATCAAACACTGTGTACAAGCGAAAAAAGTCTAAAACAATATAAACAAAATGTGGGTGGATTTTGACAACAGGAGATGGACTTTTTTACTGATGGAAGTGTTATTATGGATTATGGATTGCTATTTTTGCCAGAAGCAATGGTTTTAAGTTCAAGCGCCTTAATGATGGATTTGTTTCTTACAAACCCGCAAGTTTTCCACTTCACAAGATGTTAATTGATGGACTGCAGTCATGTGGATTATTGTGTTGTTTTATCAGCTGTTTGGACTCTCATTCTGACGGCACCCATTCACTGCAGAGGATCCATTGGTGAGCAAGTGATGTAATGCTCAATTTACATTCAAATCTGTTCTGATGAAGGAACAAACACATCTACATCTTGGATGGCCTGAGGATTATACATTTTCAGCAAATTTTCATTTTTGGGAGAACTATTCGTTTAACTACTTTAACTGTGGTACAAACCTATTATTCAACTTTGCTTACCACACTTTGTCATAACAAAGAGACAAAAATAGTCATTGCTGCTCATGCATGAAAACAAACTGTCTGAGATGTTGTTAGACACTGACTGTAATCAAATGAACCTCTGACCACAAGTTCATACACTGCTGCTGCGGTATTAAAAAATCGGAATATTCTGTCAAATATTCAGAAAAAAAATCATTTTAAAGATCTCTGTAATTAAATGTATTCGTAATTACACTAAGTCTAAACCTTTCAAGATAAGAACTCTTTAATTATTTTTTTATTGATAGTTTTTGCATGAATTATATTTTAATCCTCTTTTGTGCATCTTGGGATTTTTTAATCATTGTAGCAATGCATTCTGGAATCTTTTTAGCATACGTGTGATACTGGTTTCATGAAAGATGTTAAGCATACAGTCTTGCACAGTTATCAGTTCTCAAATATATTTTTGTATCAAATCAAATGTTGTAATCAAGTTCAAAGAATCAAATTCTTCATCACAGCGCTGGTTTATTTGGTTAAAGGCTAAACAAACTAAACTATGTTGTGAAGTTTGTGTTGGGTATGTTGAACCATTACCTGGTCTTGATGATGTGACTTGTTTGTTGTTCCTGTTTAGGTAAAAGAACGCCACCAACAGACAGATGAAGGGCAGACTTCTGAAAATATAAATGATCACAACCTCCCGCGAACTACCTGTGAAAAACAATCGATCTTTTAAGATCTTTTATGACACTAAAACCTAACCAAACATCTTTGTAGTTTGTTTGTGGCACATCCTACATTTTAGAGAGAATTTGAGGGAATTCTACGAAACTACAAAAGGGGAAAACCTAAGTTAGAAAAGCCAAAAACACTAATTAATCAATAAATCAATCAACTTTCTGGGTTGTTTCTATCAGAAAAAAAGGTACAAAAGCTGTCACTGGGGCAGTACCTTTTAATATGTACCTTTAAGGCACTAATATTCACCCTATAGAGGTAAATAAGGTACAAAGGTGTATCTTTTGAAAAGGTAGTGTACAAATGAAAACCAGTTTAACATTTACAGAATCAAATTACTGTATGTTGAACTTTTAAATCTAAAATAAAAAAGTGAAAGTGACATGACATGTTGCCAAGTATGGTGACCCATACTTGGAATTAGTGCTCTGCATTTAACCCATCCAAAGTGCACACACACAGCAGTGAACACACACCCGGAGCAGTGGGCAGCCATTTTTAATGCTGCGGCACCCGGGGAGCAGTTGGGGGTTGCTCAAGGGCACCTCAGTCGTGGTATTGAAGGTGGGAGAGAGCGCTGTACATTCACTCCCCCCACCTACAATCCCTGCAGGTACGAGACTCGAACCTGCAACCTTTGGGTTACGAGTCCGATTCTCTAACCATTAGGCCACGACCTCCCACAAAAAAGCATCAATATTAATATAACATCTTACCTTTAGGATCCAAATAATTATAGTTCTCATCTTCTGAATTTCTCTTCGGATTATCAAGTACATCTGGCTTTACTTTAATGAGAAATATTAATGACGATAATTAATTTTGACACTTGACAAATAGCCTGCTGATTTAAGAAACTATTATACATTTAAAATATTATGAATGTATTATTGATTTACTTTTATTAGACAGAGACAACAGAGAGTGACCGGATGCCCCTGAGAAACCCAGATCACCCACATGATCCATGACACACATCCAGATAATAATTAGCTAAAATTGCATTCAGTAACATGTTATAAGTACTCGATGACTGATGGGTTAAAAAGTGTGTGAACAATGGCTGTAAAACAGCAGAAGAACTGGATTATCTCTTTATGCAACAGTCCTTAAATCTAATATTTATTAAATGACATTATGTCTTCCAACTCCAGTTGTAGTGTTAATAGGTTGGAATTTGTGTGATACAGTCTCAGTTGTTGAATGAATGAACATGTTTTTATTTTCGCATATTCAAGCAGGAATGGTATTTCCTGGAAAAAAAAAAAACTAATCACCTACATAAGTTTTATTTCATAGATCAGTTCAGCATTGGTGACGCCTGTAAAAGGATTTTGTGCTGAAATTCTTTCTGGGACAGCAGGTTTTCTTCCAGCAGGGGCCAGTTATTCAAAAAGATTAATCTGGATCAAAATGAATCTGGCCTCTGGTGATCTGAATGAAATTTAATAATGGCAGTCTTTTAATAACTTACCAGTTGTTGTCGTTTCTAGTTGATCATCTTTGAGATATAGATCTGTTCCAGAACCTTTCGCCTGAATCAGGACTGGTATGTCTTGAGTCACTTTACAAACATAATGACCCGAAGCATTTTTAAGTATGTTTGTGAAGTTGAGCATTGAACAGTTCTGTGTTTTATGTTTATAGAGTTCCTGCTTTACATTGGAAAGTTTTGTCTCATTGATGTACCAAGTAACTTTAACTTTATGTGTGATTCCATTCCAGCAGCAGGTGATTTGAGCAGAATCTCCCTCTTTCACAGTGATGCTGGATGGACTCTGATTCACAGACAGCTCCTCATCCTCATATGAGTCTGTGACGGAAAAATGATAAACAAACCATTAACATTTGCATTCATTAAGTAGACATCTTCATCCAAAGCAGCTGACAAATGAGGAGATACATTTGTGTTGATCAATATTTCTGGCAATATACTGTACATTTGATATTTAGAAACAACATCTAAGCATACAGTACAATGAAATTTTCTTAGTATTAAATGAAAAGTGAATAAGAGGTGTGATTGAAGCACATAATGTAATTATGTTCCATAAAGGAGTCCTAGTTCATTATAAAAAATAAAAAAAATAGCTACTGTAAATTCTTAAACAAAAACATCAACATCTTCCTCATGTTAGCGGTATATAACATACACTGCCTGGCCAAAAACAAGTCGCCATTTGGATTTAAATAAGCAAATACTTTAGAGTCTTGGCTTGGATCATTATTGCAGTGATTAATGTGTTTCTGGCATGTTGTATGTTTGGCAACAATTCTTTTAACCCCAACTGATGCAGTATGTAGCTTTTCATTTTTTAACCTTGTTGAAAATGTACCCATGTTCATATTGTAGGATGAAAATGCTAAGATTCATTGGGGTCAGTTTGTGAAATAGTGGTTCAGTGAGCTTGAGGAATCAGTTTATGAATTGGTCACTGCAGAGTCCTGAGCATAACCCTATTGAAAGTCTTGAGGATGTGCTGGAGTCGACTTTACATGTCAATACAACATCTCAGCCAAAAATTAATGCAACTCTTGATGGAAATAAATGCTGTGATGTTGCATAAAGTTGTTGAAACAATGCCACCACAAATGCACACTGTAAACAAAGCTAACGGGGATCTAATAAAATACTAGAGTGTGCAATTTTTTTTTTTTGGACAGGCAATGTAAAGTCTATAAGGCCACATAACACGCTTATGACAAAAAGGACAAAAAGAAAAATCTCTGTATGGTTTTTAGAGAGGATGGGATGAGGGAGATCTATTATTATTTTTTACATTAAATACAAACACAAACCATAGCTACACTGAGAAAAAAAAATCTACGTAAGTATACTGTACATACATCATTAAATGGGGAGTCATCTCAATTATCACCAGTAAAATATGGAGTGCCACAAGGATCTGTCCTAGGTCCTCTGCTATTTTCAATATACATGTTGCCCCTTGGTAATATTATTAGAAAATACGGTATTAGTTTCCACTGTTATGCTGATGATACTCAACTATATATCTCAACAAGACCAGATGAAACTTCTAAATAATATAAGCTAACAGAATGTGTTAAAAATGTAAAAGACTGGATGACCAATAATTTTCTCCTATTAAACTCGGATAAGACAGAGATATTACTTATTGGACCAAAAGACAGTACACAGAATCTCGTGGATTACAATTTGCAACTAGACGGATGTACAGTTACTTCCTCTACAGTTCGTGAAAAGCGTTGTACAAATAAACTTGAATTGAATTGAATTTATATAATGTTGACATACCAACATATTTTAACTTCTGATATGATCCGTAATTTAAAAAAAAAAATCATAAAACAGAAGGCAGTATGTGATCAAGTTTAGCATTTGCATTAATTATGGCTAGTAAACATGAATAGACAGATAACAAAGACAAAACTCCATCAGGGTAACATACCAAAATAATGCTATAAACACTGCCTAAGCAAAACACAACCTAATGTAATACATAAAACACATAAGTATTTAAATAATAGGTGTTTAGGGTGAATGTGGCTCTTACCTCTGAAGCAAATGCAGGACAAAATGAGCCCACAGATCAGAGGGCAGGAGAACTTCATTTTGATGTGTTTAATCACAAATCCAAACTAACATACCTTAAGCGTTGTCAAACTCGCTCACATTAAAACACACCATCAGTCATTACTTCCTTAAGCGTCAGTGTCAGTGTACCCAAAGTTTCATCTCATGCAATCTCCCCCCTCTTTTTCACTTCTGTTTTCTGGTCAAGCTGAAGTGTGAAAAGCGTGGCAGATCATAGTTAACCAACAACACCTTTCTTTGTTCTCAATATTCTCAAAACGGATCTAACTTTACCTTATACTTACAGTGAATTTCTGTGTAACTCAATATATGACTGGTTTGGTTTGATTTTATATGCTAAAATAAAAATGATAAACTATACATTTTCTAACTGTTATGTTTTAGAATTTTCTGCTCATTCTGATGTTGATGGAATGATGTTATTTTGCAGTACTTTACAATGCAATTAAACGCAATGCAAAATCAACATGACACAATAAATGGATGCAAAGGTAGTTTGCTAATGCAATGATGACATTTTAGAGTCCACTGTAAAGTTCAACATATCAATTTAACTAATTGACATTCTTAACGTTGACCTCCAGAATGGCTCTTAAACCTCTAAATGCATGCTGGGCACTTCATTAAAGACATTATGCTCTCCTGCCTGCAGTCTTTGCGTGTTAATGAAGTCAGCTGCAGCAGTCGCTTAGCACTGCTGTCTGCTCTGATGCACCTGTGATGCACAATGATTGTTTTCCGCTGCTGGTTTGACCACTGCTGTATTGCTTAAATAGAACAGTAACGATATCCTCAATGATATGAGCTACTCATTAGTCACTGAGATAGAGATACTGTGAACAATTAAAGCTGTAGACAACAAATTCAACAAATTTAGGATGGGATTGTATGACAGTTTTACCTATCTGTCCATGTATTAAATTCATGGATTTTAAATTATTCTGCAAAATGTTCCAGATCTGAGCTCTAAATCATTTAAGATTATACCTCCATTTCATACCACAGGGCATCTTCTCACAAGGTGCTTTGCCAGGAAGTGGTCAAGACATCTTGATAAACAGGAAGTCCATCAATGACTGGGTTGGCTTGTGGTTATCTATCATCTGTTACAGTATATGTCTTTTAAAACCTTCCAAGCTATAGGGAGTGTCATTTGTTTCCAGTTGTTTCCTGTTTTCAGTTAGATTTTCTAATCAAGAGGCTGAATGTACTTGATCAAAAATACAGTAAATATTACAGTAATATTGTGAAATATTATTATAATTTAAAATAACTGCTTTCTATTTGAATATATTTTCAAATGTAATTTATCTCTGTGATTCAAAGCTGAATTTTCAGCATCATTACTCCAGTCTTCAGTGACATGATCCTCCAGAAATGATTATAATGTTCTGATTTGCTGCTCAAAACACATTATTATTATTATCAGTGTTGAAAACATTGTTTTTTTAAAACAATTTAAAAAAAACTATTCAACATTTAAAAAGTGTCATGGTATTTTTTTTCACGTATACCTTTAAGAACAATATAAATCATAGGAATATGATCATTTTTTAGTACCACGGTTTGTGTGTACTGTGGTTCTAACATCTGATAGCATGACTGTGGCTTTAAACGGCCTTGTATTCTCAGGTGGAGAGAAAATAGAGGAAATACCCCTTCAGACAGAGCTCAAACAGATCTGAGGCCCACTAAATTCCCAAACCAACAACAAAAACCTCAAAAACAACTGGAAGAGATTCCCCCACCTGCTTTAACTTTTTATCCAAGCAGATCAAATAAGACTCACAATTTTCTCAGAAATCACACTCATGCTGGAACACATTTCCACACATCAAACACTCTCCAGCAAACGATTATTCTTTCTTCTCCACTCAACTGAAAGTTTTTAATAGACCTCTCAGTAATAACCTGCAGCACATTCCTCCATTATCTGGCTCCTCCCACATCAATTATCATCGTGGTACTCCCCTGAATGCATGGCAAAGACTGACACAGAAGAGAAGAAATTGTTGAACAAAGTCGTTATTTTAGTTTCATATTCTCATAGCTTCATAACATTACATTTGAACCACTGATGCCACATGGACTATTTAAACGATGTTCTTACTACCTTTCTGGGCCTTGAACGTGTCAGTTGCTTTGCTGTCTATGGAGGGTCAGAAAGCTCTCGGATTTCATCAAAAATATCTTAATTTGTGTTCCGAAGATGAATGAAGTTCTTGCACATTTGGAACGACATGAGGGTGAGTAATTAATGACTGAATTTTCATTTTTGGGTGAACTGTCCAGTTAATGTTACTGCATTTGACTTACAAATTTGCTTACACAAGGTATAACTATGTCCCAAATTATTATTATTATTATTTTTCTTTCTTTATTTCTTTTTATCTATTTATTTATTTTGATATTTTTTTGCCTTATTACACCTGTGATCAAAAATTACTACACTGAAAAACAAAATAGTGTAGAAACAATTTACACTCAGAAATTGAAGTAGGAGGACTAAAATGATATTTTCTTCTAAAACATACTCCAATAATCTTTTATTTACAACCATGAACAATATTTTTTTACAGTCTAGGCTACAAAGAATACATTGCTTGCAAATTACTTGTTATGCTATATTCTTACCAAATATTCACTCTCTTTATCATCTCTCGTCTCTTATTTAGCACAGGGTTTGTCTTTCTTCTTGAAACTGAATGATCATAGGCCTTACCAGAGCCTCGGTTTTTTTAATGTATATAGCAAAAATTATCCACAAGTGATGCTTTTTAAAAAAATAAAAAATAAATGAGGTGCACAAGCACAGATAATGCCTATCACCAATCAGCTCCCAAAAGAAATAAAAAGCCTGTGTTAAAAACAAGATAACAAAAAAGGTCCAAGGTTTGGTGATAATATAGCATAATGAGAGATTTACAAGCTATTTTTAACCAGAAACACCAAATTAGGTAAAGGACTTTGAGCACAGTAAAAGGGTTAAATTTGAATGGAGATCTAAACAGTACTGAATCTCAAAGATTTCTTATTCATTTCACATCATAACTTTTGTTTTCAATTATAATGAATCCTAAAATCCTTAGGTTTAAGTTAGATTTTGAATAGCAGATTTTCAGTGCAATTCTTGCATGTTTATGAGCATTAAATCAGCTTTTCCTGTCATTATGTACACCTCATATCCTAAGATTATTATGACCTTTCCATGTTTTCTAAACCTTGGGCTTCCTGCAAGAAGATGGCACCAGCATCCTGACATGAAATCATCAATGCAGCACCACACAGCGGTTTACCTTTAGATTTCTGACAGCACGAGAGCAGGAGAAGTCAAGAGCCTTCATGCACCTGCTCTTACACTGTCTCCTAGCAACCAGAGCGCCAGAGATTGATTCTTCAGCCGCTTTACGAGTATTGTGTGTCTGATCATGGCAGTTAAATGTTGGCTAATTGAATTGTGTTTTTTTTTTTTTTTTTGAGGAATTTCCTTATAATGAATCCTAAAATCCTTAGGTTTAAGTTAGATTTTGAATAGCAGATTTTCAGTGCAATTCTTGCATGTTTATGAGCATTAAATCAGCTTTTCCTGTCATTATGTACACCTCATATCCTAAGATTATTATGACCTTTCCATGTTTTCTAAACCTTGGGCTTCCTGCAAGAAGATGGCACCAGCATCCTGACATGAAATCATCAATGCAGCACCACACAGCGGTTTACCTTTAGATTTCTGACAGCACGAGAGCAGGAGAAGTCAAGAGCCTTCATGCACCTGCTCTTACACTGTCTCCTAGCAACCAGAGCGCCAGAGATTGATTCTTCAGCCGCTTTACGAGTATTGTGTGTCTGATCATGGCAGTTAAATGTTGGCTAATTGAATTGTGTTTTTTTTTTTTTGTTGAGCACTTTCAAAGCCGACGCCAGGTTTGAGCTCGCGTCTCACAGCTCGAGCGCTCCTAAAATCATCCTCACAGGCATTTCAGCCAAGACCGTTTAATTCAGTTCACTTCCATTCTGAGAGGTCTTATCGATATGACGAACAATCATGTGTTATTATAACACTCACCGATTCTTTCACCAATTTTCTTACACTTGCCGAGAGTTCTAGTAACAGAGATTAATATAATATTTATAAATATACAATGACCAAGCTAAATGTAATCAATAAAACACATATAAATGAAGCAAAACATAGACATTCATGTTCATGACATTCTTGAATATGAAATCAAACTAGACCCTATTGACTTTGGTATTATTGTATACAATTCATTATTTTTTCATTGTAAAGAAAAATGTTTGTTTTCATAGTCTTTTCCCAAAATTGCATCAAGAAATAAATCTCAATATGTCTCCATTAATTTATAGTCTTTAAAATCAACATGAAATCCAAATTGAGTCTATTTACTTTTTATACACGTTCCCATCAGCGTTATTTTAGTATCTTTGAGATACTACTACAGTTTTTTATTAATATTTTGAATTTGTTTTATTTTTAGATTTTGTTTTCATTTTTAATTTTAGCTAAAGATTTAGTAATTTTGTTGTCTGTTTTCATCTTTTTTAGTAGATTTTGTCTTTTTATATACGTCTATATAGTTTTTATTAACTTTATTTTGGATTTAGTTTTAGTTCTTTTAATACATCAAGTTATGTTAAAACTGAATTAAAATGAGAAATGTTTCTTTGGCAACTAGCTGAAATAAAATGTTTTATTTTATTTCAAGTAACTAAAATGTTTTTTAAAGGTTTTTAGTTTCAGTTAACTATAATAACCCTAATATAAATTTATTTGTGCACAATTCAAGTGCATGTTCTTATAAAAAAAATAATAAAAAAAAGTTTTAAAAAAAAATGTAAATATTTTTTTTTTATAATTAATGAATTTAAACAAACAAACCATAAATAAATAAATAAATACAATTTAAATAGTATTAAAATTATTTAATACTACTTTAATCAGCTGTTCGGACTCTCATTCTGACGGCACCCATTCACTGCAGAGGATCCATTTGTG